CGTCAACGATAAAGAAAAGGGCGTCAAAACATCAGCAGAGCAATACCAGCAGCATGCCAAGAAATAACGTATAATTAACGACAATGTTACAGTGGTCTGCAACCGGTAACTTTTCTGTACCTTTAGCAATCTAGTTGAGATCACATGACACTTTTTAGCCGTATGTGGCTTGCAAAATAAAGGTGCATAAGCCATAAAGCAACTAATAATTTAATTTTTTACATGCGATATCAACGCCAGTATTCGGCTTCCACAACTTTTAAAAGCTGTCTCAGAATGCGTGGAGTAGTTGCTTCCATAATGTTACCTCCATGATGAGCTTCTCAGCTGATGGCGGGACCATTAAGCGCAGGCCCTCAGGAAAACGCACAGCCGCCGATGGCATTACAAAGGATCTGAAGCATGTCCTTTAAGCAGAGGTGTTTTCAGAAGCAAGGCACCCGGTGGATTCTGTTGGAATAGCGCGGTAAGGGGAACCCAAGCACTTTCAAGTTAAGGGACCTAAGAAAACTATTAAGCAGGTACCAAAATATGCTGCTCGCCCCCGTAGTGTTTGCCTCCCTCGCGCTTCATATGCGAGTATTAGAACACACGCCAGAGTAATAGCGCGTCTCGAATTTAATGCCTTAGTACGGCGCTTGATCGCTCGCGTGAAGCACTGGCTTAGCCAGGGATTTTCCTTCAGCCGGGAAGGGGGGGGGGGGGGGAGGGGCATGATGAGGGGTGCGATGGGCTGAACCTCCTTCCCCCCTCCTGGCTACGCCACACACTAAACTTTTTTACACCCCTTTGGGGTGTAAAGCGCTTTTCCCAGGACGAGCACCTTTTAAGGGTGCAAACGAGCACCCCTGTGCCAAAGCACCCTATAAAGGTGTGAAGTAGTATAGGGTGCACGGTGCAAAGCACCCCGATCCAAGGGTGCTAATGCTGATTAGTTTTAATCGAAATAGACTTTTGTAAAACAAAACTTATCTTATTTACACAGATGATCTCGCTGAAGTGACATCGGATGTCACTCAGACACGGCGCAATCAGTACTACAACAGGCTGCCACCCAACGCTGGCTTGTGACTGTGAAGTTTATGACGCACATAAAGATATCCTACCACACCAACTGTTTGGACAAGTGGCATACAGCTTGTCGCCGGGGGAAAAAAAGAAAAACAGACGACTGCGCACTCGGCTCGGTCGTACCGCACTCGAAACCGCTGCTTTTCCGTAACATTTTGTTTTACATTGATATGCTCCTTTACCCTGCAGCTGTTTGTGTATGATACGAAATGTACTAGTAAAAAGATGACGTAACTCACCCCAGCGAGCGCCATGGTGCTGCTCTCCGGCTGCCGGTGCTGCGGGAGATCGGTCTTCCAAAGCTCGGCAGCCCGTTCAGCTCGCCGAAGATGGCTGTAGCTACACTTGACGTTGGAGGCGCTCACGTCAACATACGAGCACCGGAGACCAGAACGCATATTGGTGCTTCGTATGATCCGAGGGTAAATTCTTTCGTGTCAAACAAAGTAGCGCACAGTTCAAGGTGATTTTGGTCTCTTTTTTCTGTCCTGGTTCGCGAGCTAGAAGAAGATTTCAGAGAGCCTACAAAGGCCTTTCGATATGGCCGCGGAGAACAGACAACACCCCTTTGTTTACCCCTGCCAGTCCCCGAGCTGTCGCCCGGAGTCATGCTCCAATCAGAGCGCGGTGAAGTGAAATCACAGCCCCGGCCTGCGCGGAAGAGCAGAGTCTTTCCCTCCGCATTAGCGGCGAGATGTTTAGGTGGCGCCCTCCTATAGTTGCCTCCCTTAACGTCAATACCTTGCGAACAACAAGTTTGGTGGTGCTTGTAATGAGCATGTTGGAATTTAAAAATTATAGCGCACTGAAACCAGCACTGCCAACGCCGTCAAAATTGAAGTTTTTCCATTCCACTTATTTCCGTCGATGAGAAATCCTTTGCTGACGTCAAAGCCAGCATCCAGCCAATCGCGGAAGACCGATCACAGCGACGCTTTTGATCGCGCGCGTCGCCAATAGAGACTATTCATTGGTGGCATATATGTGTGCACAACTGCTGAGCAGTGTTGTACGGAACGGCGTTCCTGGAACACGTTCCTTTTAGGAGGAACGAAGGAACGCCGGCGTTCCATTTTGCATCGCTAGAACTGGAACGGTAACGCGTTACATTTTTACTGGAACGGAAAGAGTAACGGCGTTCCTTTTTTTCGTCCAGTGAGGTAATTTTTATTTTATTTATAACAGGGAAATTTCGACAGTACAAAAACAATATATTTACGAAGTGCAGGATCTCGTTAACATTTGGCTGCTGATCTTATAGATTATTTTGTGTGGTCCTCGCTTGCTAACAGTTTCGCGTGCAGGAGAGCTGGTGGACATTGATTCTTTTTTGAGTGCCCGAACTTGACGCAAAGAAAGCAAAATTTTAGTCGTAGGAAAAGACAAAAAAAGAGGGTCATTTCAAACTCAGCTACTTTGTTTGGTCCCACAAATCTTCATACACCCAGAAATCTAAGGCGAACTACAGCCATTTCTGAAGTGCCATAACGAGACCTACATTTACCACAAGATCACAGGTTGCCAGATATTGAACGCACCCTTGCATCCCGAACATTGGTCACTTAAAAGATACAAAAAAAAACAACCTTTATTCCTTGTCTTGTCTCCCACCTTCAAACTGAACAACAAATCCAACCTTCACAAAGAGGTATTTGTAGTTTTCAAGACTGACTTTCTACGAGCCCTACACTCTCCTGCACTTGCTCGTCTTGCGGACAGAAACATCGAGAAGCAACTGTTGTTAAGTTCTAACAAGGGACTTTGTTCAATTGAAACGTGTGAGGACGTTAAACGCTCGTGCAATGTGGTTACATTCGGCTCGTCTCAATCGACCACTACACACATGAATATGGTTAAAAGCTGAGATTTTCAACTTAAATATATCAACAACTAAAACCCTGCTTCCGCTTGTTTTCTTCTTCTGGTGCCCTTCCATTGCGACATACACACTCATATGTTGCGTATTGATGGGATAGATAAAAGAAAGAAGAAAACAATCTTTCCTTGATTTAACTAAATATGGTAATTAGCAAAATACAAATGTTACGTATTTGCAACGATACTTTCCATTTTTTACACTGTAACAGGAACTAGTTCTTTTTTCACAGATGGAACTTGTAACAAGAACGCGTTTCAAAAATCAGAAGGAACTAAAACGAGCTTTCGTTCTTTTTTTGAAAAACGTGTACAACACTGCTGCGGAGCGCGTGCTGACGGAGGGTTTGCATAGTTCAATCAATCAATCAATCAATCAATCAATTTTATTTACATCATCATCAAATAGTGATGTGGGCTGCAGAGGCAAAAAGTCAAAACAGTTTTGACTTGACAAGGCCTCTGCAGCCTTACAATTGGCATACGGTAACAAACAACAGCAACCGGGGAAAACAAGCACACAGCGACATGGGGAAAAAAAAAAATAAAACACTTATATACTCTATTTGCTGTTAGAGGAAGGATTTGACCTCTTACACAAAGAACGAAAAGAAACGACAGCATCTAGGGACTGGGTGTATACAGGAAACAAAAATATATAAACCGGATGCATTTACAGCTCACAAGACAATTTATTTTTTATTTGTGAAAACAAAGTTCTCGAATTTCATTGAGATGTAGGTTTTCAATGTTTGACAAATTTTGTTTTTCAGCTTTATTTAAGACAAGTGGAAGATTTTGGCTTAACATTTGAAACCCGTAGTTCGTGCGATTAAATGGAATTTTCCAGTTCGTTTGCAACGTGTATCCCCACCATCAAGACTAACGGTCACGGCAGCCTAATAATGTGAGCTCGTTCTGAGCATGCCCTCTAAACATCTTCCTCAAATGTAGCGTCCAGTGAATACCCTTAATATTGAGCTACAGGTTAAGAGTTCGGGGAAGCTCCTTTCACCTCTATCCACTTTAGCAGTGCGAAGGCTGGAGAATTGGCGACCTCCTCTCCAGCGTTTGCTCTGCTAAAGCGCAAAGACGGGGGAGGACCTGTCACCGAGTTCTGCGTGACTGCGTCAGCGCTCGGAGAGGGCTTAGGTTCAGCCTCACGCTTTCTGTCCCATGAACGGATGGACGGTAATGGCTCTACCTGATGAACAGTACAGCGCACACAAAGACAAGGACAGAGAAACGGAACATGCAGGACACACAAGCGCTGTGTGTCCTGCATGTTCCTTTTCTCTGTCCTTGTCTTTGTATACACTGTACTGTTCATCATGTCATCATACCAATTCGCCCAACTTACAACACTTCTGCAATGGCTCCACCCTCTGTAAGGGGCGGCAGCTTGCGCCACAGAGCCTAACATTTCGTCATCCTTTTTTTTTTTTGAGGATTTGTATGAAATTTGTACCAACACAACCCTCACCCCCTTTTGAAGCGTTTCATACATGGGTTGCACTGACGTTACATCGCATACTTTTGACCACCATGCAAGGGGAGGAGAGGGAAGCGGTTTTTCTAAGAATTTGGAGTGACAGTTAATCTTCTATAATCTTCTGGGAGGAGAATAGCGACGCCTGTGCGAATCCGGGAGGCACAAAAGAGGGTCCAGATAAGAGCGGAGCTCCTTCTTGCCCTCATCTTTGGTGGTCATCGGAGCACTCTTTGAGTGACGTCACGCGCACCCCATGTGGTGTTTATTTTTATCTGCATTTTTGCCCCTCCCTATATCTTTTCCACCAATCTTCTAATCTACACTTAGTTACCGCAATTGTTTCCCTATCCATTCGTCCAACCATGTTTCTAAAACGGAATGCCCACCCCCACCCCTCCCCTCCAAATCCGTAGTCATACCCCTAAGAGGGTGGGACGAAGCCCTGTGCACCTTAAAATTACATTTTCTATAGTTTCCCAACAATGGCGGTTCCCCTAAATGAGAACCGCCATTGATGCTCGATTTGAAAAAGGGTGTATTCATGGTTTTCCGGTTTCAACAGATCTCGTGGAAGGACGTACAACTCTGCTCGAAGTTGGATGTGGGCCCACAGCGGCGTTTGTGCTGACTGCCGCCGCCCGCTTCCAGGGGATTGTGCTCAGTGATCTGGTCGATAGCAACAGACTAGAAGTTGACAAGTGGCTCCGCAACAGCGCTGACGCCATCGACTTGTCTTTCTGGGCCAAATCGATTGCGGCCCTGGAGGGTCATGTGTACGTGATCGGCCTGTCCTTAAGTCATACGTACTCGCGAGTTTTGTTCGCATTGGAAATAGCAGTGGGAAGCCTGATTCACATGGTGCGGATTCGCTTGCTATTTCGCAGCTGCGACGTCTTGCACACCAGCTTTTACAACGATTTCTTTTGCCATAACAGCGCCATTCCATTGTTTAATCGCGAGTAAATTCGTACCTTGTAAAGCAGGCATTAGCTCTATGCATAAGTTCGTAAGGTCTAGTCTGCCTGATTCGGCAAGCGGCCACCTTTCTTTTCTCCATAACTCCTGAAATATAAAACAAAAAAAAAGAAACGGGCACATACACACACACACAGACATTTAGGTAATATTTTGGAGTTTCTTTAATTCAGTACTTTGCTTTGGCTCGAAGCTACTCTTAGGCGAGATTTCTTTTGTTCAAAAAATACCGTTTTGGCATGACTCATATACCAAATAGACAACAGCGGGTAAGAAACAATGAAGACAAAAAAAATAATCAAGGATCTAAAAATTGCGACAAGAGGCAGTTATAACCCGTAGAACCCTGGAAAATAAAAACTTAAATTTTCCTTCTTTTGGTCAGATTTTACTTATGACAAAACAGCGCCCTCCCGATAATAATGTATATATATATATATATATATATATATATATATATATATTGCGAATGAAGAGGGGAGAAGGTGATTATTGAATTTAGTGCATTAAAGTTAGGGATACAGGTTAGGAGTTCGGGGAAGCTCCTTTCGCCTCTATCCACTTTAGCAGTGCGAAGGCCAGCGAAGGCTGGCTAGCGCGTGCCTTAAATCAGCAACGGTTGTCGTCTACCAAGTTAAGCGAAATCGAAACTAAACAGTACACAGAGAGCCGGTCAGAAATTGAGTCCGCCGAAACCAGGTGGCCGGGACGGTCTAATCGGTTAAGGCGTCGCCCTTGGCGAAAACTAATACGTTTGAAATATACCACATTCTAATTTGAGTGTATTTGAAATACAGTTCATAATTGTAGGTACACGAAAAATATGCCGAAAAAATAAACTTCTTTTTTTTTATTGGTACTAAAATATACTTCTAAAAATCATTTTAAAATACCTTTACTTAAACTACATTTGAAGTTCCCTTCATGCGTTTTGAAATATGTAAATACTAAATTAATAGGCGCAAAATACCTTTCACATATATTTCTTGAAATAGTTATTTAATTCATGCAAAATATACTCCAACCTTAAAAAAATGGAGCAATAAAAAATACGTGCAGAATACTTTTAAAATACCTGAAAATCGTAAAAAGTGTTGTGTTATACTCTAAGTACCCTTTGACTGCAATACTTTGGTAGTTTGACTTAAACTACCAAAATATTGAAATGCTCCCCTTCTAGAAGTTCACTTCAAGCAGATATGAAATACACTGAAGCGCCTAAATACAACATTTAATTAGTTTGTCAACTGAATTGCGCAGCACCGCACTGATAAATCAGCCCAGTTTATGTTATTGTTTCCTTTTTTCTATCAAGAACAGACCTGATCAGTTCCTTGCACACCAATCACAAATGGGGTTGAAGAACTGCAACCACAACATTTGCTGATGCTGGAAAGCTTCAGCAGTTGCTGTGAACAGATACGTTTGGCGTGGTTTTGTTAGCACAATGTTAGTTCACTGAACGTGTATACTCACCATTGTACGTGATGCGAATAGTGACTTTAATATAGTGACATTAACTACCATATTAAATAGTCTACTACTAAAAAGGAAAGGCAAAACTACTGTAAAATATTTATTTTTCGCGGGCTCAATATTTCGCGATTTAGGTCAAAGTTGGAGTGGAATAATTCGCAAATTCTAATTTTCGCGACGCGCTGGAATCGCAATATAGATTTTAATGTTTTTACATTTTGCCGGAATTGTTCACGGGACCTATTTTTCGGAATTGTAGGCGATTCGCGTACTTTGCGAGAATTAGGTCCTCACGAGAATAAAGTCGTTTACAGTATTTTAAACTGAAGAAACTGCCTTGATTCGCTTCGTCCTGAGTGGTGCTACGCAGAGAAGCAATAACATGTATTTTATGAGCCGTTTGTGTGGATATTGTTTTAGGGACTGCGCCGAATTATTATTAGTTGTACCAATGCCTTTTAGTAAGAGATATCGTCCACGAACTTCAAAACACTGTTTCCCCTTTGACAGACTACCGAGGGGAAGATCGAATACTTGGATCCTTAAAGGAGCTGTGCAACGATATTCAATTGGAATGTTTTTCTCTCTACACGAGCTTACTGGCACACCTGGGACTCAAGGATACTCACACGCAACGCCACTGGCCAAGAAACTTCTTTGTTGCGGTGTAATTTCAAGGACGAAAGCGATCATTTTCATTCAATCTCTCCTTCGCAAAATTCGATGACGTAACTCGGGGATCGCAGTACACCCAAGTGACGATATTTGAATGCGGCTCATAGATTGGACCCGAGCATTGCGTGGGCACTCGACTTGGGCTCGTGACAATTGCTATCTCGAGGAGCATTCGGGTTGTAACCCGTGTCCAATCGCTGCAACGACGACAATAGCCGAGCCATAACAATGTCTGGAACTCAGCGCGTGTCCTGCGCTTTGCCAACCCCAGCGCGTGGCTGTGATCAACATTGGCGGCATATAATCGGCTCCAGATCACGTGGCCGCTTGTTCTGGCTGCGAGTTGAGGGGGTGAATGCTGCTCGTTTTTCTTAAATTTTTTTCTGGGACTTCTATTGCGTGAGGTGAAAAACGAACGCGTGTTTCATAGGTCATTAACGTTAGGGATCTGTTTTACGCGGTATTTGTGCAAAGTACAAAAATTGTTGCATTGCTCCTTTAATAAGCGCAGAGGTGGTCACCGAAAAAATGATTACCTTCAATATGTAGGCTATATAAGGCTCTAGAGCAGTCAACGGGACTGTGAATGAGCTGCTCAGTGCGTCATGGTGTTTGTGTTCGTTTCTAATGTAGCTTTGTAAATGTATTTAGTAGTGCCTTCAAATACCACAGGGACACCATGTGCTGACAAAATCGAAAATAAAAAGAATTGTGTAACCGGTTTTTAATGCACAAGTGGCATCTTGAGTGTGAAGGAAAACTATTTTCGGTATATCTAAATATTTTTTGATTCATATTTATAATGTATTTTGAATACCTTAAGCACGTATTTCGAGTGCGGCCAAAATAATACAGAATAAATACAAAATGAATATTCGTACTAAATATATTTCAACTTCGTTTGAAGTACGGCCTCTTTTTGCTAAGGGTCGCCCCGGACAGGCGAAGGTTGCGGGTTCAATCACCGCTCATGTCCCAATTTTTCGCCAGCTCTCTTTCCCTTTCCCTTTCCCTAACTTTAATGCAATAAATTCAATAATCGCCTTCTCCCCTCTTCATTCGCAATATTACTACGGCTGCACTTGTCAATCTTCACTCATTTCCATTATATATATGGTGCGGCCTGTCCCTATGGGGAGGAGTGGTTCCCTAAATACCTTGGAAGACGGGCCCTTTCCGACATTTGCAAGCTGAGATGACGTGCCACGTCACTGCCGCATGTCGGAAATAGCGCGGGCCTTCAATCAGCAACAGTTGTCGTATACCAAGTTAAGCGAATTCGAAACTAAATAGTACACAGAGAGCTGGTTAGAAATTGAGTCCGCCGAAACCAGGTGGCCGGGACGGTCTAATTGGTTAAGGCGTCGCCCCAGACAGGCGAATGTTGAGGGTTCAATCCCCGCTCCTGGCCCAATTTTTCGCCTGCTCTCTTTCCCTTTCCCTTTCCCTAACTTTAATGCAATAAATTCAATCATCACCTTCTCCCCTCTTCATTCGCAATATTACTACGGCTGCACTTGTCAATCTTTACTCATTCCCATTATATTACAAAACATAGACAAGAGACTTATTACATTAGGTGTATTCATTGATTTTAGCAAAGAGTTTGATGTTTTAAATTACAAAATTTTGCCTGCGAAATTAAATCGTTATGGTGTCCGTGGTGTGCCACTGACTTTACTGAAATCATACAAGATCGGAAACAGAGTGTTTTTATCGATGGTCATTGCTCCTCTTTTCGAAATGTACAGCAAGGCGTGCCGAAAGGTAGTATATTAGGACCTCTTTTGTTTAATCTCTTCATCAATGACATTGTGAATATTGATAATGAAGCACAGTTTATTATGTATGCAGATGACACAAGCCTGTTTTCTCTGGCAATGATGCTAATGCAGTATTATGCAACGCAAACTCTGTTCTAGAAAAGTTTTCGCAATGGTCTGAGGCAAATCGGCTTAGCGTAAACACAACAAAATGGAAGGCTATTTTATTCAGGGCTACCAATAAACCAATCGTGGTAAATGATACTATTCAACTTGACTCTTCGGAAATTGAACTAGTAGATAAACATAAAACTTTAGGCGTATTTGTTTCGGAGCACTTGATGTGGGAATCTCATGTCAACTATCTAGTTGGTAAACTTTCTCGAATTGTCGGTATTGTCGCTCGTTGTCGGAGTGTTTTACCCCCAACACTCAGCTACAAATTTAGCACGCTCCATTTCTGTCTCACTTAAACTATTGCCATCTCGTGTGGGCTACAACGACAAAAACTAATCTTCATAATGTACTACTACTGAAAAAAAAAATAGTACACTATATTGTGGATGTTTCGTATACAGACCACACAGAACCTTTGTTTGCAAAATTTAGATTACTTCCTGTTGCGAGCATGTACCTATACCGTTTACTCTGTGCGATTCGTTTTTCATCTCAAACATTTCTAGATTTTTTGTACATTATTTCAGGACTCAAAATGAACAAAAGTAATGTTAACACACGCAGTACAGAGACATATGTGCTTGCTCAGTCCCGCACCAACTATAACTTTCAGTCACTACATCATAATGTACCATGCTTATTAAACAAGTATATAACTAACAACATAAACATATACACGTTAGACAAAAAAGACATCCGCTTGAACT